CAAGAATCTTGTCCTTTTTTTAGGGGCCCCTTTCCTCTAGCGCTTCGTAGCTGCTGTAGCATCTGTATGCCCTGTCAAGTCCGTTCTGCAGTTTCTAAACGCTCCACCTTTCTCATCAACTAATGGGGTGACGTCCTGCTGTCTGCCTGCGGTTATTCCCGCTTGGGCAGGTCTTACAGTGGTGATGCTGTTTTATCTGTGCTAGGTGGCTGCTCTCCAGGACGAGAGAAACAGCTTGATGTCAGAAAACGAGATTATGAATGACAGGCTGGAGCAATTAGACGACTCTCTGGATGACCCAAGTGCTGTGGTTACAAAAAAGTATTTTCATGCACAGTTGCAGCTGGAACAACTGCAGGAAGAAAACTTCAGGTATGACATGGTTTCTCTCAAAAACCCCTCGCTTGTCGTGTCGGGTACACCCTGAGGATTTCTGGTAGCCTTTCAGGGGTTTCCATCCCACTTTCTTTTTCTGTAAAAGCTTTCCAGTACTGTCTAAACGTATTTTAAGGACAGCCCTTACCTTTAAAAGGAAAACTGCTACTTGTTGAAATAATTGCTTTGTATTTGCCCTGTTGTAGCCATTTGACACTTCCGAGCAGGTGATGGACAGCAGCAAAGGAGTGCTGAAGCGATTTGTGTGTAAACAAACACCCTAAACTGCCAAAGCCCCACCACAGCGCTTTGCCGGTTTCTTTCACACATTAGTCTTCCTCCCTCTGAGCCCCTGGCTCAACAGGCAGCCAGTGAGATGTTCCGTGCCCACAGCACCGTTTTTCTGTTTGCTTAGATAAGTAGGTTTCCTTTGTCTTACTTCTTTCGAACAGTTCTAGCACTAATTAATAAACTGTGATAATGATGGGTTCTTAACAGCGCTCCGGCTTTTGATTTTGCAGGCTTGAAGCTGCGAAAGATGACTATCGGGTCCATTGTGAAGACCTAGAAAAACAGTTGATTGAACTGCAGCACAGAAACAACGAACTGACGTCTTTGGCAGAGGAGTCCAGAGCCTTGAAAGATGAAAATGATATTCTTAGGTATGTGCCAGAGCTCCCCACCCACATCAGGAGGGTTTAATGACTAAATCCAAGGTATTTAATAAGGCTTTTTCCAGGCATTAGTTCTGCAGCTAGATCCTACCTGAGCAGGATGGAAGATAAACGCTGGAGAAGGGCTCGTTGGCGAGGCAGAGACGGAGTGTGGCCTTTCAGGCACAGCCTCTAGTGTTTGCGGGAGATCAGCCGCGTGGAGTTTTTACGTTCTACCTGTGAAGCGGGATTAGTGGATCAAGAGATCATTCGTCTTCCTGTGGGATGGAGGATGAAGGTCTGGGAGAATTAAGAAGTTGGGTGGGGGGCTTTGTGTACATCCTTGTTAAGGGGACGTTTGGGTTGGCGAGATGCTGCCTTTTCTGGTGTAGAAAAGCATATATGCAGCTAGAACTTGGAGCTGACTTTCGGTGTCAGCATTCCAGGCTGGATTTGGGTCAGCAGTGGGATTAATGAAATGAAGATGAAATACACAGTAACCTTGAGAACAAAAGTCCAGCTTGTGTAAACAGAATGAAACCCCAGACCACCCAAGACATGCTCGAAGAAATCCTATTGCAAAGGCAGGCCTGCTGTTTGTAAAACAGTACGACCAGAACAGGGGCAGGAAAGTGGTTTCAGGTGTCTGACTTACAGTGGTTCTTAAACAACATCTGAAACAAATCCTAACTATAGGTTTCCTTTCATAGTTTTCTTTCACTGGCTTCTAGCGATCTGGGATGGCAGACATTACCACAGATTGCTGTGGTAATCCTTGGTCATGTCTGCCAATGATCACGTTCGTCGAGCAGTTATGTTCTAACGAGGTGTAATTGTATATAACCCCGCAGGGAGAGCATCTGCGTGTTCTTCCTTACCAGGTACAACACTTGGAAGTGACCTTCCAGCGCAGGACATTGAGGCACTTTTACGTTGCGCCCCACAGAATTCCGTAGGGACACCTGACAGGCATGCCCTGGCTGTGCTTCTGGGCTGTGAATCGGCCTTACTCCCATTCACGCCCCGTGGTGGTGGCAGTTTTCGTAAGCGGGCGTGCATAGTGCACATTAGCATTGCTTACACATCGAAAAGTGAGTTGGGCAGATTTAACTCCTGCCAAGCATGGCGCATCTGCCTTTGAAAACAGCTGGACTGCACGTGAATTTGGGCCTTTTCATCTTTGGAAGGAACGCCTTCTCTCTTCTAATTCCTGTTCGTACTTCCAGGACTACTGCAGACAAGGCAAGTAAGCTGGAGTCGACGGTTGAGGTGTACCGTAAAAAGCTGCAGGATCTGAACGACTTCCGCAGACAAGTCAGATCTCTGCAGGAAACCAACATGATGTATATGCACAACACGGTCAGTCTGGAGGAGGAGCTGAAGAAAGCCAACGCAGCACGCGCCCAGCTGGAAACCTACAGAAGGCAGGTAAGGCTGCCCCTGGGCTTCGGGCCTTGCTTTTCCTCAGGTGGGCCTCTGACCTGGAGACATTCGTTCTAGTTATGTTTCAGTGAAAGCAATTGAACAGCTTCATTCGGCAGCCCATGGGCTTAACCTGTACTTTCCCTTAGGATTTCTTACTTGTGAAAACTCCGTCACACTCCGCCACTCGCTTCCGGGTTTTCCCTGTGTTGAAATAGCAGCTTGACTGTAGCTGCCCTCTCGGCTGGTTGGTTGTTCCCTTACTGTAACCGAGGTAGTCTGGGCCTGGGAGAGGTCCTTCGGCTACTACTGAGGTCACTGCCACGTCATATTCTTAACTCTCTTCACGGAAATTTATGTTGAACTGTAGAAGTTCTGTTTCAGTTTCACTTCATTCAAGAGTAATTAGGAGATGCGGGAGCTAGACGTTAAAAACCCACCCAAAAACCCAAAAGGCAAACCAAACCAAAGAAACCCCACAACAACCCCCCCGCACACACCACCCCTATCCCACATCCCATCTCCCATGCCCCAGGCATGGAGGACCAGCTCTTTATTTTGGCTGGATTGGGCAGGAGTGAAGGTTTGAATGTGGCTTTTTGAGGTGGCACCCTGCAACATTAATGTGCTGAATGTTGTCTTGTCAAAGGTGCAGGAGCTTCATAACAAGCTGTCTGAGGAGTCGAAGCGAGCGGATAAGCTAGCGTTCGAAATGAAGCGCCTTGAAGAGAAACACGAAGCTTTAATCAAGGAAAGAGAGGTGAGGCTCTTGGGTGAGTTTGTTTGAACATCTGAGAGGGCTCTGAAATGCTCTGCGTGAGGAAAACCTGTCCAGAACTCGGGCTATCGTAAGAACGAAGTCGAGAGTCTCGTGAGTGTATACGGATCAGAAAGAGTCCTCGAAGCTGTGTGTGTCGGTACTACTCCTCGTTGATGCTCTTGGGTGTTAGTGGCGCAGCACGACTCAGTTCCACCTCACATGTCTCCTTAGCGGCTGCTGGTGCAGTGCGACGCGTTGCGAGAGACAAACGAGGAGCTGCGCTACTCGCAGATGCAGCAGGACCACCTCAGCCAAGCAGGTACTGCCTCACCCGTGTGGTGTGGTTTCACGTATCGTGGCGACTGCGCGTTTGTTGAATTAAAGTTGCTGTGCGATTTCAGGTGCAGCTCACGTTAAAAGCCACGAGAATCTTGCTGCTGAGATTCTGCCAGTGGAGTATAGGTAAGACAGGTTGAGGTTGTGTTGGGATTTTCAAGAATGGGGCAGAATATTGTCTCTGTGAATGTTCAGTATTTTGGCAACATGACTGTTATCCCACTTCTTGCTTTGTTCCGTGCTGCTTGTCTGGACCCCCCTGTAGCTGTTCATAATGATTTCTCCATTCTGTGGTTACTTTGCATTGTTTCTTATCACAGAATCACAGTGATTTGGGTTGGAAGGGAACTTAAAACTCACCCAGTCCCACCCCCTGCCATGGGCAGGGACACCTTCCACTAGACCAGGTTACTCTCAGCCTTATCCAGCCTGGCCTTGGACACTTCCAGGGATGGGGCATCCACAGCTTCTCTGGGCAACCTGTCCCAGTGCTCCCACCCTCTGCGGGAAGAATTCCTTCCTGATGTCCCATCTAAACCTCCCCACTTTCAATTTAAACTCTTCTTAAAAGTGTTTTGGATTGCTGTGTGTAAGGTTTGGCTTGAGCCATTCCCTTGAAGGAGCGGAACCGTTCTCACTTTGCGCTGCCGGGGCGGATAGGTATAACACAGCGACCGAGGCAGACGGGCACAAGGCTGGCTGCCGTTAGGTTTGAAGTCTGGGTTGGGAGTGCCTGATCAGTGACTTCGTTCATCTCTCTTGAACCCTTGTGGTGTTTGAAAACAGTAAGTTCCATTTTAATAAAACATTGCCCCGTACTCCAGCAGAGGAGGACAGCAGCAGCAGAATTTATTCACTCGTGTGAAGGTCGGGAGCTGACGGGAATGTTATGTCCTGCCCTTAGTCACTGCTTTCCTAATTAAGTGTCTTTCTTTGTTGCGTTGGGTCCAGAGAAATGTTCATCCGGCTGCAGCACGAAAACAAGATGCTCCTGTTAAAACAGGAGGGATCAGAAAACGAACGTATTGCACAGCTCCAGGAACAGCTGGACCAGAAGCATGGGACAGTGAACGAGCTGGAAACTGAGAAAAGGTGATGGGTGAAACAGCACCTTAAAATGTAGGAAGCAGTGATTCGTGGACCTCCGGAGCAGCCTCGCGGCCTGCGTCGGTACTTCGCGCCGGGCAGGAGGCCTGCTCTCTGTTTCCTTTCGCCAGTCTGATCATTAATGACGGGTTGTGAAGCAATCGAGCAGGGAGGTAGCTTAAATGTGGTGGTGTGGAACGTGGTGGATCCGGAATGTTGCTTAGGGGGAGCTCTTAGTTGCGCTGAACGATCCTTGGTAGGCCGAGAGTGGATATAAACCGTTGCTAGAGCTGCAGCCTAACCGCACTGTAGCACTGGGGTCCGGTCTGGATTCCTCTGCCAGTTAGCGCTGAAAGCACTGTACTAGGACGTGCGGATTCGGGGCAGTGACGTTTCCTCAAAACTTCGATGATCCTAGCTCTTTCAGTATAAAATGCCTGATAAAGCTGCTGTGGGTGTGTTTCGGTGGAGGTTCAAGTCAGACTAAAAGCGTTTGCAATCAGGTTGTTAGTGGCTTAAGTCCTGCTGGGTAACGCCTCTGAAAAATCATCGTCCAGGCATGAAACAGAGAATTCTAATTTTAGGGGGGTAACGAGTGTCCTTCCTTCCCAAAAGGCTAAATGAAGAGCGTATTGGGGAGCTACAGCAGCAGATTGAAGATCTGCAGAAGACCCTACAGGAGCAGGGATCCAGGGCTGAAGGAGTAAGTGGAAGTTCGGCTGCTTGACCTCAAAGACAGCTGTGTTTAAAATCCAGCAGTGTAACATCCAGTCGCTTGTTCCGATGCCCTCTTCCTTTTCACTGTGCCCAGTGCCGAGAACTGCCGGGGGGGCAGGATTAGGGTTTGGTGCCTTTCTGTTAGCCGTTACTTTGGAGTGCACTAGTTTCATCCTGTCGTAGGAGTGAGCGAGTTCTGAGGCCCTTTAGCACCACCCGGCCTCGCCCCCAGCCCAAAGAGGTACCTTCCAAAGACCTGAAACAGTTCAGGCTGTTCAGCGTGTCCCGAAAACCGCTTCCCCGGTTCACGTAACGCAGACTTGGCTCCGCTGTGTTCGGAGCAGGTGAGCTCAGTCTTCATGGGATGAGAAGCCACGAGACCCCCCAGCTGCTTTTCAGTTGGAAAGCTCATGTTTTATGGGATTTCTTCTTCCACCTTCTTGGAGGAAATGTAACTTCTACCTGCTGCTTTACTTTTGAAACCCTCTAGTTTTGTCATTAGGTGGTGGTACGGCGGGCAGGATAGCTTACCCAAAAAGGTGCTGGAATTGGTGTAGTGCGATGCAAAAAATGTCATGGAAAAGCATGGCAAGGCAGTTTTCCTGGGATGGATTTGGTCTGACCTGTTTAGGAGCGCTGAGTGTTCTTGGCTGACTGGTAAGAGCACTTCAGCAGCGCGCGGTGTGAGATACTGAAATGTAACAGTCTGAACTCTTGCCTTCCGCAGTCCAGCAACCTGAAGCAGAAGCTGGCAGCACACATGTAAGTAAGGCGCCCGCCTCCTCAGGGGTGTTTCATGCAGACCAGTCTGACTGTCTGCAGGGATGACTTGTCCTCAGCCACTGATGGGGGAGTCCTGTAGCGGGCTCAGTATTAGCGCTTCAGTTTGGTCTTCTCTGGCCGTGATAATCTGTAATACCTGCATCCGCTTAACCGCTCGCTTTTGAACTGTTCTGACTCTGAGGGGACTGCTGACCCCGTCCTGCAGCATGCAAAATGTCCTTCGGCCCCCTGGAATGCCTCCGTCCTTTCAGCAGGTGTAATTCCTGCGGCGGGGGTGCTGGGGCTTGTGGGGTTTTGTCTTCACTTTCTGGTTTTGGTCGTAGTTTTAGGTAAATGACTCTCAGTTCAGAAGTCACAACTTCTGTGGGTTCTCAGAAATCCATACTAAAAATATTTCTGTGGAAACTCAAAAGCATTGCTGGAGTTGACAGTAGTTGTTTAAACACCTCCACCATCAAGGTTCAGCCTCCAGCTCTTAAAACTGCACACAGAGTCGTTTGTGAGCTTAATCCGTAGCCCAGCCTCTCGCCTTTCCTTCCAGGGAGAAGTTGAATGAGGTTCACGATGAGCTGCAGAAGAAGGAGGCTGATCTCGCAGAGCTCCAGCCCGATGTTAGTCAGAACCGTAAGTTGGTTTGTGGGGCTTTTTGGGGTTTTTCAAGAGGGTGTGCTCTGTTTCTTCTGAAATTATTCCCATGGACTATGGGCTGCTTGTCTGGGTGAGGCTTTCTGCCCCAGCTCAGCTTAAACCTGACACGGGGCTGGGCCGGGAGAGGTCTATGGGCCTTGGTTTGTTGAACAGTATGCTGCGAAGTGGGAGTTTAGGGTCAGGTGGGACCTTACGGTACAACGGAAACAACAACAAGAACTTAGGAGATAGTGTAGCAGGTAGAAAGTTTATTTGGGGGGTGATTAAATCAAGAGAAGGCAGGAGCCTTGAAAGCGGGACGTCTGTTTCCGTTCTGTGTGACTTTGTTCATCGTTTCTGTACGTAGCCCAGAAGATTGGAGAGCTGGAAGCAGCTTTGCGGAAAAAGGATGAGGATATGAAAGCGATGGAAGAAAGATATAAAATGTACCTTGAGAAAGCAAGAAACGTGAGTGGCGTGTTTCTGAACATACGCATCTTCCCTCATCGCTTGTTCACCTAACTGATTGGAGTCCCCCTCCTCCACGTCCCAGTTAAAATTAGTAGCTGCATGTTGCCCTTTCAGTCAGAGTGCTCGTGCAGTCTGCCGAGTGTGCGAGCACGGGGGCAGGCTCCAGCGTGGCATGCGCCAGTGAATCCTCTGCACCCTTGGGTACCTCAGTTGCGCAGTGGAACAGCCTGGCTCCCGTCCGAACTGCCCGCGGAGCACTGTCTGCTGTGTGGGTCTGCTGTGCGCAAAGGGGACGCAGAGCTGTTGAGAGTCAAACCTGGCTTGTAACGCTTCGCCTTTGCCTTGTGCAGGTGATAAAAACCTTAGACCCCAAGCTAAATCCAGCGTCAGCAGAAATTATGCTGCTCAGAAAACAGATAACGGAGAAAGACAAAAGAATTGAAGCACTAGAGGTAAAAGTTTACATGTATTTAATAATAGCAACTTCTAATACACTTTGCTGTCTCTGATACTGGACATTCCAGTTGCTGTTTCCTAATGACCCAGTGCCCTTCAGTGCTGCAGTCGGTTAGAACCTGCACAGACCATCCAACCTTGGCTTAAGTAGCCCGGGATCCCGGCAGAGTCTCTTGGAGCTGTTTACTGTTCAACAGCGTTTTTTGGTGTACAGAGAAACTCGAATCTGGATTCTTCCTAAACCATGTGAAATACTTCACTGGACTCGTAGTTTGGCCCTGACAGAGCTGCGGTCTCTGACCTCTTCCAGCAGCAATGAAACTTACTCCCGTGAGGGACTAGGGATTGAAGCGTGTTTCACTTACGGGGCCTCTGATACCGGTGGCTTCCTGTACTGGAGTTCTTGAAACTACACAGAAGAGTCAACCTGTTAATTCAGTAAAACCTGCTGGGCCCAGATCCCGAATGGGTTGTTGGCAATGAAAAAATGTTGGAGTGCTGCATTCAGTTTTATAGGAATATGGATGGGACTGGTTAGAACAGTTACGCAGCAAAGACAGAATTCCTCCCCGCGAGTTCGTAGGCTGAAAGGTCTGACTTAAAAGGCTGTGGCCTCAGCTTTCTTGTGTGTGTCTGTGCTGGGTCCGTATCCTACGGAATAGCAGTTCCGTAACGGGATGGGGATCTCATCCCCAGAGATCCGTTCTTGCCTTTGGCTTCAGGTAAAAAAGTTACTGAATTAGTTGCGGACTTTCCTTTTACCCCCAGACTTTCATGCGCCTCCACTCCCCCTCCAGGCGTGCTTGTAAGTTGAACTGCAGCTTGTGTGAGGTCTAGCCTCTTCCTGGGGTGGTCTGCAACCTCTCCATCATCCATGGGGGCGTCTGGTTACACCACTGAGCCTGG